GATAATATTGTGCCGCATCTCGTAATAACGCGCAATATATCGGATAATATATTTCTCCCCTCTCTTTTGTCCCCGCTGAACAATTTATATTCCTCTATGAAAATGTTGAGGACTCGCTTTAGTTCGAGATTGCATCGTGGAATGCGTTTCAATAAGGCAGCTTTTCTATTTTTAATTTAATTAAACGCTCCACGTTAAATGCGTTTTACTTCAATATCCATACATTATTTTTATATTTTTATTAAAAGATTGCGTTGCCTGAAATAATATTAGTTGAACAATTATCTCGAGATGTAAAATTATTGCATATATGTATACGAATAGCAATACATTGATATCACATGACTTTAACAGCATGCGATCATTAATTTTACGAACCTGATATCGATTCTAGATTTATTTTTATTTAATTTTAGGAAATAATTATAATGTATAATTTATGAAATAGTCGTCGTGCAAAATTATCTAATTTCAAACTCAACTTAATAAATATATTCAAATAAAAAAAAACATTTTATGTGAATAAAAGTAATGAATCGCGTTTTGATAAATAGTATTTGCTCAATTATCTCTTCTATTCCAAATTGCGCTGTTTTGCATGGAATTTCACATACCAATAAGCCATACCGCGATACCGTGTACGCATCCACATTTCTGATACCGATCGCCTTCTCCGTGTTGCAACAGCCTACGCATTTAGATAAAGCTGACAGAAACGATGGACAGTATGGCCAAAGTTTATTTTTGCAAGATCAACTGGCTTCGTGAATGTACAGTGTAGCATAGCTAGTGTACTTCATCATTACCTCTACGCGATTGCAATCGCGTGTTAGTAGATTACGATACGCAATAAATGTTCTCGCCATAAATTGTATTGTATATGAGATACACATACTATAGAAGATATAAATTTTTTCGTACTCTCTAAATTTTCTGAAGTGAATCTCACTTCAAAAGACTGAAAATACTGCCATTCGGCCACTTGAGTGAAATTCACTCCAAAAGAGTGAAAAGTCACTCCAGAAAATTTAGAGAGTAATGTGTGAAAATTTAGAGAGCAATTAAACTTAACGAATTAAAAATGATATAGTAGATGATATAATAGAAATTATATTAATTCTATTTCGCACAAATTACTTCGTTCATTAAAGGAGATGCAACAAATTATTTTAATATAGTTATTCCTTTTTTTTTCGTGAAATCTTATCGCATACTTTTCATTTACCTAAAGATTCTAATTTGAATTTAGAAAAAAGAAAAGAAAAATTTGGTTAAATTAAATGTATGTAATATCGCTTTTTGTTAAGAAAAAGTAAGTATTCTTAAATGGCTACATTAAATTAATACAAGACTACATTTTCGGAAAAGCAATCTACTTTCAGTTGGTACAATTTAGAAAATTTATTAATTAGATTACTTATTTTACTTACGATAATCTTTATTTACAAAAGATGTGGTTCCTTCAAAAATTATAACGGTATCGAATTTACATCGAAAATTAATCGCGTGTTGTTAATTTCACGCGACACCAGCGTATGGACTATTCGTATATCTTGATGGTTTCACGTCTCGAGATAATTGCCCACTGCGGAATAATTTGAATGTTTCGCGTAAATTATGTGCGAATGTGCGCGATTTCACGTAGTATGACATTTTGGCACTCTCGCGGACGCCCTATTCTCGCCGAATTCTTGGCAGCGACGTGGTCAGAGAATATCTTCGAGAATCTCAACACAGCACGATATGACGAGATAAACGCTGTATTAGCTTGTACCGCACGCATGTATCGCAATTATCATATGTATCAGTTGCGCGTGAGTTGCATAAAATGTATAAAGTACGTTCCGTCCATTTCGTGTTTTAGAATGATATAGCCTAGTTTTATAATTTGACTGGAAAAAATCGAACAAACACGCGAACACGAAACGAGACAATATGTTTTCGGACTACGAAGATGTTCTTTCTAAGAACATAGTAAGTATAAATATGACAAAAGAAAAACTTATGATCATGTTTTAAATACAATAATTATAAATTACACTATAATAACTATAATATAAATTAGTAAATTATAAATGCTAAAAAATGTTCTCATGATCTTTTTTTATAATTTATTTAAATATTAATGTCATAACTAAGCTGTACAATTAATATTTAAATAAATTATTTAAAAAATCATGAGAATATTTTTCAGAATTTATAATTATACTTTTAGTTCGAAACTTTGTAAACTTGCAAGAATTGTATACATTGCTCTTATGAAACTTTTCAAATAATATACGAAAGAACATCTATTAGCAACGGGACCCGGCTTATTATAAACAAAATTTACGCACTTTATTAAATCGTGTATCAATCTTTCTTCAAGAATATTTGAATTTATCAATCTGAACTTTGGAAAAATTTATTTCGTTAATTTTCGCCGAAAATATTTGCATACTTGCATCAACCATGCCAATCAAAAATATGTCAGAAATATATGTATAATTGATCAAATGTATATAATTGGCTTCGTAAAGTAATGTGAAATTCAAGCGCCACCGTCAAGAACGCTCGCTGCAACTTTCCCATGTTCTCACGCGCGATAATTAATGGATACACGTGCTGCGAGGTGCGGAAAGGAAGCGGCTTAGGGTAACATCGCAGTCGGATTAGGGTGTCTCGTGGCAAAGGGCCGGGTGCATCTGCATCTACGGATGCAGCCTGGCTGCGAACCGCGCGGCGCAAAGCGTCAGCCATTTATCTGCTGCCTCGTTTTATACGGCAAGGAATGTGTCCCTAGAAGGCATCCGCATTCTCGTAAGCGTCGCGTGATCGATGAAACGCGTATGTCAACGTTCAAGTTGCGAGTACGAGCAGTTAAGAAGTTTCTCGTTAGTGGATGTTTCGAGGCATTAACAGTGCTCCGTGATTGAAAGCTTGAGCGTCAAGGAAATGGTAATGCGCTATACTTTCGGAATTCATTGAAAAGATACGAGCCGAGATAAACGCTTGTCAAATTTTTTTAACGTGTTTTCAAAGTATTATTTAAAAGGGATAAATGATTAATTAAGAATTGATACATTAATTAATTTATATTCCCAGCATTAGACGTATAGTAATTTCTTTTTTACTTTGTCAACATTACTATATAGACGATAATTATATGATATTAAATTAATATCTATACTCGTGGTAGTTTTCTTTTTTTTTAGTGACATCTGAAGATTAATTATAATGGCTCAAATTATCAAAACTCGTGCTTAATTATGTACATAAAAATCATTGAATACTATCATGAATATGGATATTAATTTAATAATATCATCTAGTAACGTTGATAAAATAAAAAAAAGGAATTACTATAATGTTTATAGACATGACAAATGATTTTTGTGCATATAATTAAGCACGAGTTTTAATAATTTAAGCCGTTATAATTAATTTTCAGTTGTCACTAAAAAAAAAGAAAACTACCACGAATATAGATATTAATTTAATACCATAATTATCGTCTATATAATAATGTTGACAAAGTAAAAAAGAAATTACTATACGTCTAATGCTGGGATGTAAATTAATTAATGTATCAATTCTTAATTATAATCATTTATCCTTTGGAAAATATCTTTCGATAAATATTTTTATATTCTTTGCTGCAATGCGGCGCCTTAAACAACGCGCGATACGTAGATGAGTCACCTAAACATAATTTTATAGTTTACGGTACATTCTCTTGCGTCTGCGCGGTCCACTTTTCGGAAGAATCTCGGGATTTCTCAGGCCGTAATAGAGACGTATCCAAACTGGTTGAGCCACAGCCATATCGACTGTGTGATCGTTCGGAGGGCGTGGCGCCGATACACTTGAAGATCGTTTGACACAAAAGCCGATCCGCTTCCTCCGGGCCATATTATTAACGTTAACGTACCTACACGTTCGGTCTCACGACCGGAGATCGAACGGAGATCAATCGCGGGCGCCTTCATTCCTGACGCGCGCGCGTTCGAAACTTCTTTTTAAACCCGCGCCGGAGAATCTCTCTTGCTTTCTCTACCGCCCTCTCCCTATCTCCGTTCGCCTGCGGATTTAGCGATAGCGCCCCAAAAAATAGTCCGGATAATACATGAAAAATAAGAACGTTTTTATTTACGCTGCATTTTTTTTGTTTTTTTTTCGAGCGCATTTTATTTAGTAATTATTTCACGTAACTTCTATTACGTTATCTTCTCGATCTTGTCCTTCTTACAACAATACTGTAAAGTATTTGAATTTTACATAAAATATTTTTATCAATATTCTATATTATTATTTTATATAAAATATTTTGTTATTAAATGTTTCAAGCTAGAACCTTTCACTTTTCATACTGAAATAATGTGAAAAATATAATTTTTATAATCCAATTATATTTAAAATTAACATACTATATATATAAAACTTTTCAATTTAAAACAATAATCAGGAATTAGTAAATCAAGCATTAAGAGTCTACGCAGAAATTTGATAAAACAATTTTTATCTTCAAATAGTTAGTTACATATCTATACAACATTTTTTCTTTCATTTTATATCATTCAATATATTTATATTTATATTTCCTCCAAACTAATAACTGAATTAATTATTCTTGCTGAGATCTTTTACCTTGCAAGAATAATCATAACTTAAGACAAATACACAGCAATATCGGAGTAAAAATTTGTTAATACACTATTCTTATAATACTTGATATCTGCAGCCTAGCTTATATACAAGCCTGCTATTAAAATATCTTAAAAATAAATACAAAAGTGAAACATCTTAAAAAAAAATGTCGCCGATTCAGAAAAGCATTTGGTGAATGAAGTGCACTGCTGCGTTCTTGTGCAACTCCACTACACACTGCCCATTCACGCGCACGTGGACGCGTAAGTCCACGTGATCGTCGTGACTCGCCATTCAACTTCGCGCGCCACTGCCACTGACGTGGCGAGATTTTAGACCGGACTGTACATACATACTCTCGGACTTGTGCGTACCTTGCGAGGTTTCAAGGCGTGCACCACCTTCGGCCGTAAACATTGCTGGGCCAGGAGAAACGTGACGGAGGCGCCGGTCAGCAATCCGATGCTCTTCTGGATCCTCCCGAGGCCGCGGTCGGCGCGCCACGACGCGTACGCACGCGTGACGTCGCGAAAGTGCCGCGCGTACGGCGACACGCGTCGCGAGAGGCACGCTATCGTCGCCATTTTCAACGCGTGCGACCGGCGCATGCCTCGTCTGCCCCATGAAACGTCAATTTCTCCTTCCTAAACCGCGATCAGGGTTGTCGCCAGGAGCTCTCGCGCCCCAGACAAGCGCGAGAGAAATGAAAATATTTATAAAGTACCTCTATTTAACATTACTTCATTAATTTTCTGGATCGTTATTCGATTTGGCATCTTTCATCAATCTGATCGAAATTCTCGGAAATAACGTAATTTTTTCTATGTGCGAGAGCAAAGAGAAATCATTTTGCTAAATATACCGCGAAATAATCATGTTTCTGGTCGACCTTGGTCGATACTTTTCTTTTTTATCACGCTTTGTATTTTTTTCTTTGATATTAAATTAATGTTAGGAGAAACTGGAATCGCTAATTGCGATATTATTAATCTGCATTAAATTTTCTGATAATTATTCGATAATTTTATAAAATGCTAAGAAATAAATCCGATCTAGCCACTCGTAATTTAATGATGAGACACAAAAATATCCGCGATCAATTCCGATAATACTGTAGTAAATATTTTTATCTCATTTGACAGGTAAACTGCATGTCTTACTATCGCATTATCATGCCTAGTCACGTGTTTACGTCCACAACAACTTATTCATCATTGCAAGAAATATAGGCGAACGATTACTTTCGAAAATATCTATAGAATGACAAAAATCGCGTTTTTAGATCGCAATGTTTAATGCAAAATTTGTGTAGATATATCTTTTACAATCCATGAGTTACAGTCGATTAATTATGACATTATATTTTACGTGAAAAATCGATTCTAATATCGATGTATAATAATGAATATTATTATTACTATAGAAATCTCTTATCGTTTTAGTACTCGGAAAATACTTTCATCGATTTTTTTGGGGAATTCTCGCACGAACAGTATATTACTTGTCAGAGTAGAGATGTATAGTGTACGTAATTATGAATTTCTTTTCATATTATCCTGACAGTCACATAACCCGACAGAATCTGCTCAGCTACTCTTCTTATGGAGCTCTCACACGAGTATTATCGCCGTGATCAGAATATTATTCGTAATTAATGCGTTGATCAGAATTAATGACGTTTGTTCCAAGAAATGTATGTTGACACAAATAAGGAAACATAATTACAGTTAAAATTTTCTCCTATCAACCCTTTACATTCACCGATCAACTGCAGCTTAAATAGAAAAATATCCGATAATTAATAACGATATAGAAAAATTACAACAGAACTATGTCGAATTCCAATAAATAGAAGAGAATGAAAAGGAATTTCTAAAATTTTGATTATCGTGTATATTTTTTAAAATGCAAGGCAGTCTTACTCTTGCAATCGCTACACTTTATCCCGCAGAAAAAATTTAAGAATATTATTTGTTTAATTTATATTCATAAGAAAAATACAAATTGATAATAATTTGAAGATAAAAAGTAACAGAGAACCAAATTTTTTTTATCAATCACTGACTTTGAAAATTAAAAGTCTAATTTTTAAAAATGAATTTCACGTTTTACTTTCTTTTAATACAGGCATTTTTGGTAGGAGTGCCAGCGTTTCTCTTGCAATTAACAATATTAATCAAAATATATGGAGCAATAATTGATGGTGTGACGGCCCCTTTAGGTCAGAGTCCGATCCTTTGCAAGACGACCCTTCGGGGCATACCGTAATCATGCATTAATTATGATCGCTCTGGATGGCACGTAACCACGTAAAATAAGTCGGAGGCAACAACCTCCGCTACGTCATTGCGAGAGGAGCGAGGACCCTGAAGATTTGCCCTCTATCCCCACCCGTCCCGTTCGCCTCTCCACGTGGTTTTAATCTATTTTCCGTGTTTTTAATTAAACGGTTCCTCTCTATGTCCGCGGCGGATAATCTCGTATTCGTACAGCCTTTGCGCAAGGGGGAGAAATTATCTTCTGCCAATATAACTCCATATTATCATCCTGCTCAATCATGCGCGGCGCTTTTAAACGGCCGTGTTACGCATCTCGGGCTGCGCGCGTCTCTCACGTTGCCTCGCTATAGAGAGCCGGACAGAATTAGCGAAGTTATAAGTGATGCGAGTTGGTCACGCGAAAAGACGGCCTGGGAAGTAATTGCTTGAAAGCAGCGAAAGCACCGAGGGCCATCATTTTAGTCACTTTTAACTGTATAACTTATTTGGAGAATGCGGCAGAATTCGATTTGGATTTCAATTACAATCGAATTGTGAATAGATTGCAGAGTTCTACGTGAATATAATATTTAAATGCGAATAACGTAATATATAATGATATTCTTAATTACTCGTGTAAGAATATAAAAGGGTTTACTGAGCCGATTCACGCAAATCGTATTCGCGTGCGTACCGTTGACTATATAGATAGGAATAGAACTGAAGAGGGTCGCGCAGACGAAGGACGTTACATAACGGAAACGGACGCTTCTTCACCCACGTCCCCGACACCGTGTGACGCAATGCGAAAAGAGTTTGGAGTGGCGCGTGTGCTAAAATTACGCGGGCTATTACACGCCCCTGGTGTTACGAATCTTGACGCTTGTATATCGAGGCTGCCGTGCGACTACATTTTTACGAATTCTTTATTTATCTTGAGGCGATGGTTACACCAGAGTGCTTCCTGATACAAAAGAACTCCGAAGGGAGTTCCGCGTGTTTTCTCCGTAACGAGATTTCGAGCTTACAATAACATGCGATATTTACAAAAGTCAAAATATATACCTATATATCTATCATTACATACACGGAAAGAACGAAAGGTTTTGTTGAAAGGTTTAAAAATTTTGTTAAAAACAGATCTGAAAATAATTTTTTGTTGAATTATCAAAATAATTTATTGGAATGTTGAAACTGATAAGCATTGCTATAAAACGTTTTGATATTTTAGCAATCACTTTGACTTTCGCGCAAAATTATTTTGATTATTGAACAAAAATTATTTTCAGATCTGGATTCAGCAAAATTGTTCTTTCCGTGTAGAAACAAAAAATCTGGTGTTATAAAATTTTATGTAGAGAGAAAAAGAAGCTTGAATGTTCGGGTGTATCGTTGTTGAAAATAAAAGGAAAATACTTCTTGCTTTCGACGCTCTCGTGTGCTCATGCAATTAAGATTAAGAAAATATTCGGAAAGTGCGGCGAGCTTGCTCGATCGAGCGAATAAAGATCCAATGACTTCATGCCGCAGCTGCCGTCGTCGTCGAGTGGGCATAACCGGCAATGCGAGGCTGCAACTACCTCGTCCGCGGGCAGGATAAGAGTGCATCGGGAGTGCGCAACGAGTTTACCGGAGGCAAGGCCAGCGTTAGATTTCTTGCCGCCGCAGGTGTAATCTCGCGCTTTCCGAAGAGATTCTGTCATAAGCTAAAAAATAACATGTCTTAGAAGCAACATTTAATTCTTGAATGACAGAAGAATTTTTGTTAATTATAATTTATACTTCTCTGTACTTAATACATGAATTTTAGATTCACCTCGAGTCATATTCTCTATTTTCAAAAAATATTTCAAAAAATTTTTTTAAATTAGATCCTGGCACTTCTGCGGCCTTCGGTATTCATAAGCTTAAGCGACGCATTCCTCGCTAATTTGAGTCATCAAAGTCGATATGGTTGATCGATTTGCGTGAAAAGATAGCGAATAGAAAGCTCTTGATAATAACAATGATGCTGATAACACTGTAGAGAGGTATCATATAGATATTCACCTAATAAACTTTGATAGAGCAAAGCAGCCTGTAATGCCTTTGTAGACCTGTCTTTAAGGCTTGATAAGAGAATAAATGTAGCCCACGGTCAGGACTGTGATCCAAGATACTAGAGAGTAAAATCGATTACGATGAATATCTATGATAACGAGCAAAATCGTGTCGACTTTACGCGTGCAAAATACTTAACTACAACCTGTTCGACTGAAGATCGGAAAAATTTATGCAGGCGCTAACGTATTTTATCAGTGAACATGTTGCGGCTAATGAAGTTAGCCATCATCCCAGGATCATCTAAATGTATTATAACTTGTATACGGCAATCGTTTTATAATATTTTTATATATAATTAAAATAATTGGTGTAAAATGAATGAATCATTCGAACCGAAATATTATTAAGCCATAAGCAATAGTTTTGTTGTAATATTAATAATTGATTATTTTATTTTCCATGTATATAAATTGCATTTTTTATTTTATCACAAAAATGATAGAAAATACGAGTTTTCTATCGTGTGATCTTTGACATTTTATTTATTCTTAATATTCAAAAAAATATGTATTTATTTGGCTTGATCCGTTTCTCTCAATTACCTTCTTAAACACTTTCAATTACGCTGTTTTACATGAAACTGCTACCAAATTATATAGACAGGCAAGAGTAATGCGGCTAAGATCGAAAAATCTACGCGAGCTGTGGAATCAATTACGATTAGGGACGGTGCACGTTTTACGGTCCATGTTTTGTTTAAGTTTCGCCCGTGGGTCGAAAGTTAAGGCGGAAGGCATTTATCGAGGAATGTTAATTATAAATTGAAAGACGCGCGTCGCAGACCGAAGGTCGGGGTTATGGTTATGTTAAAATAGCTATAGGATTATGATTACGGTCATAATCCGTAATCATAAGTGGCTAAATGCCATGAGAGATCGGCAATAGGAGTAGCTGCAGAGGCACATGGCTGCACTTTAAGAAAAATACGCGGACATTTTTATAATAGCTTATAATAATAACTAATATCTCACTTTCTATGAAACGTTTTACTTATATAAACGTTGACTTGTATTACGTTTAATTATTATATATTTATTGGTCCAATGTTACACGACATACTACATCACGCACAACAATATTTTCCGCGAAAAACGTGCACGATGCATTAACGATAGAATTCAGTTGATATTCTAACGGCAGCAGATTTTTGCTCGGAAAATACAATAATTATTACGAGACAATTATTTGAAGGGCACGGAGATTGCGTAAATACAGGGTAGCGGACAATGC